TTTTGCGAACGTGGACCATCGGTTAGGAAATGTTGGCAGTTCTCTCAAAAAAGTATTGATTTTAAGAAGTTAGGCATCGTTGGATAGAGAATGGAAAASTCGATTCAGTCGTAACAACGTGAGTGAGGAAATTCAAGTAGTTTTGACCCAGAAAGTWAAATTTGAATATCAGACACTTAGGTGCAAGATTATGMMAAAATTTAATGTTTTCCGTYCCGYTTTTGCTCATATCTCGGAGGMAAAATGAGCAARAACGCTCATTTGTACATCATTCTAGAGAGACAGTCAGACAATCACCAACAAAWTTGGAGAKCTGATGGTGGTTCCTGCCGTTCTAATCAGTGTCGCCCTCGAAGTGCTTGATTCTGACTCTAATTTTTTCGCCCAACTCAAGTATATAAAATGCAAAATTCGTAGAAAAATATTTATTTTCATCAATTTTATAAAATCTAGTACAATTTATTATAAAGAGTGTTGCTACATTTTATGCAAGTTCAAAACAATGGCAATGATTTTGCTGCTGTAAATTGTCCTAAAATGAGTTTAGTAAACCCGGTTTCACAATATAAATCGCCAGGATTTTCTATAGAATTTTAAATACAAAATTTGCCATGTTGAAAAAATAAAACCACTTTATGCAAATTGTGTACTTTACGCACATGCAATTTCTTTTCGACTGAGCTTAAAACCGAATCAACACTCTGATCAAGGCGTCTGATATTTGAAGATAAAATGTATTATGTTCATAATATAAATATAAATAAACAAGTACCATATAAAGGGTGACATATGATAACAAAAATATATGTATGTTGTACCTAAATTATAACTGAAAATGTAGACTTACTTAAATCACTTCATTAACACTCACAGTTCTTCTCTTATTAAAAATATGTGTATATTTTACCTACAACCCATTCATGAACATCCAAATAATGAGCATAATTAAGGCATATACATATAAATAATATCGCAATCACAAACATGTGCAATTTTCTCTCAAAACACTTGATTCATATTAGTTTATCGTCCTGAAAATTATGCACTTCACTTCGGCATGAATCTGCCGCTAGAAAATTAGTTAAACATAATGGCGTTTTTAGTCTAGAGGTCTTTCAATAGCATTTATTGGAGATTTTTTGTTTTGTCTGATTGATAACGAGAAACTAAACTTGGCTTCCAGCTAGTTTTCATGCATCAAACCATACGTTCTTTTTGTTCTTTTTGCTCTTTATCTTCTTCTTGAGGCTTGTCCCACGGTTGTCTTTCACCAGATGCAAAGAGCAAATAAAACGTACAACAAAACGCGTAAACTCCAGATGCTGTTATAAAGACAATCCTCCACTTTTCGACGCTGGGCTGTAAAAATCCAAACGGAGATTATTTATTTGCACCAAATGAAGTTATCAATTGCATTCGAAAAATTGAAAATGTAATACTGACCGTTCCCTTGATCATAAATCCGGCATAAATGGGTGCCATCAGTCCTACAATATTGGCCATACAGTTGGTGAAAGACATAAGAATGCCGGCAAATTGCGGAGAAATATCCAAATGGTTCACTCTGAAGCCTGAATTGGTACCCCCGTTCAAACCGACCCCAATGGTGAGAAGGGTGACTGTTACCCATTTGTCGCATCCAGTAAAAGCAGCAATAAACAGAGCGATTGCCGGTCCAAATTGGCCTAAATTTAATTATTACTTGCTGGTGAGGTCTTTTTTGGGGGGCTCTAAAGACTTACCGATGCTGTTCAAAATTTTCCTGACTAGAGTTGAGCTGAAGTAGGTCTTAGTCAGCATCCAATCGGCGATCTGACTGACCATGATGGAGAAAATCCACATGGCCAAGTAGGGCAAAGCTGATAGAAAGCCATTCTGAAAAAAAAGTTTTTCAGTTGCAGCGTCATCAGTCTGGTTTACGCATCAACAGCAAGTTAAATATTTGCTCTTTGATTATAGTACGCCAACTTGCCATAACAAATCACTATAATTAATATGATTTTAAGTGAGCGACTTTTCGTAAGGTTGAATGATGCTGATGGTTATTCCAAATATGTCCTTTAAATTTATTAGCGCAATAAAGTGGTTAAGGAAATTTACACCATACAATAAATCAGTGGATAATTAATGATTGTTTTAGTTGTTCAAGCAAAGAGTTTTGTTTACTGAAGTCTGGAACTACACGTGTCGAAGAAAGCAACTGATAGCCCGAATCCAATTGCTCAATGATTGCGCTTCGGCTCCATCAAGTCCAATCTTTCCTTTTAAATTCGTCAGTTTTACTGGATGATTATTTTAGTGTTGAATCGTCATTATATTATGATAATTGGCCGAGTCAGAGCCAAGCATCCATTCTAAGGAATTCCTGATGCAACTGATTATTTGGCGCCTTTTCAAAGCACGCATTTCAGCAGTTCAGGTCAATTGGAAATGATTTGTCCAAATAAGTGTTTAATGGCTCGACCAATGCCTTTAAAAGCAGCACACGATCAAGCCATGAAGCAGCCATTTAGTTTAGATAAAGTGAAAAAATCTCAACAATTTTATCGTAGTCGAAACCAGAAAAAATGCCTAAATACTTGTAAATGCTCTGCTCGTTGATAATGGCTGGGCAGTTATCTACGCAAGATTGGAAAACACTACAATTGTGCGTGAAGCATATTATAATTTATTATTGTACAGGGCGTTTGTGAAATGTCGGTTAAAAGCGACAAAAATTAATTACTTTTTGGTAATGCTTCTGTCTGAACGAAATCCCGCATCGGGAAGATTTTGGGGACCAGACGTCTACATCTCATTTAAAATCGCTTACTTATTTTCTCCTTAAATAAAAACCTGGGCCTTAAAATCCATGGTATCTTCAACGCTCGTAAATAATGAAGATTATTTGAGAAAACGAATGGAAAGTTCTTTGGATATTTTAAGAAACGATGAAGAACTGATGGCTTTCATTGCGTGATAGAGCTCTAAATTGTGCACTTTTTTAATGCCAAAATATCAAACATCGTTTTTGAAATGTTTCTCGTTTTCACGCAAAACGCAAAAATTCATAATTAATATGGGTGTACAGAACCGGTCTTTTTCGTTGGCTCATATTTGGAGAACTGGTTGAGCAACAAAGGTGTTGTTTTCAACGCGTGATAGAGCGTTAAGTTGCGCAACTTTTGTTAAACCAAACATTGTTTTAGAAATATTTCTAGTTTTCACGCTAAAGGAAGTCTCACGTCTTCAGAAGCGCTCTTATTGGTTGGTTCATATTTAGAGAACCGGTTGAGCAACAAAAGTGTAGTTTTCAATACGTGATAAAGCGTTAAGTTGCGCACTTTTCATATACAGAACATTGTTTTAGAAATATGCCCTTCTTCATTGCTTGGTAGAGCCAAGGGCGGCAATTCTCTATCCAACGATGCCAAAACGAATTATCTGGCACGAATGGTTCTTGAGAAACTTCGAAAAAAGCAGCGTCATGTTCAAGTGGATTTTGCAACTCAAAAAAAACCGCGCAGATCTAAAACTTTTTTAGGCTCATTTTGCCTCCGAGATATGAGCAAAAACGGGACGGAAAACATTAAATTTTGGCATAATCTTGCACCTAAGTGTTTGATATTCAAATTTCGCTTGCTGGGTCAAAACTACTCGAATTTCCTCACTAACGTTGTTACGACTGAATCGACTTTTCAATTCTCTATTCAACGATGCCAAAACGAATTCTGTGGCTCGAATGGTTCTTGAGAAACTTCGAAAAAAGCAGCGTCATGTTCAAGTGGATTTTGCAATTCAAAAAAAAACCACGCAAATCTAAAACTTCTTGAATTCAAGCATTTTTTGAGAAAACTGCCAACAATTCCCCAACCATGGTTCACTTTCTAAAAAGGCCATTTGTTTCTGTCCAGAATGATGTACAAGGATTTTGCAACTCAAAAAAAAACCACGCAAACCTAAAACTTCTTGAATTCAAGAATTTTTTGAGAAAACTGCCAGCATTTCCTTATCGATGGTTTACTTTCTAAAAATGCCATTTACTTCTTTCTGGAATGATGTACAAATGAGCGTTCTTGCTCATTTTGCCTCCGAGATATGAGCAAAAACGGGACAGAAAACATGAAATTTAGGCATAATCTTGAACCTAAGTGTTTGATATTCAAATTGCGCTTTCTGGGTCAAAACTACTCGAATTTCCTCACTAACGTTGCG